AATACAGAACTAGAACTCTTAAAAATTTGGCGGCATGCCCCTTGTGTTTACCCATTTTTCAGCCATTTATAGCTTCAATATTTTCCTCAAACAAACCCAAAGTTACATACAAAATAATCTCATTTCAATAGCCGTTCAATAGGCTCAAGGTCATACAAGTACAAAATCAAGCTAACGACATGTGCGGAAATGACGTTTAGCAAAAGACAGATTTGACGTTGTTTTGCGTAACGGACACAACCGAAGCTACGCCTATCGGATTGGGGTGAAATTTATACTGTTTCAAAGCTAAGACAGAGGGCTACAATTTTGATGAAGATCACTTAGTCCAAATTCCAGTGTAACCTAGTCAAATTCCCAATTCACAGAACCAAATTCCAACTAATAAACCAGTTAACCGCACTACCTTCAAATGGCCATATCTCAAGCTACCAAAGTCCGATTAAGATGTTTTTGTAGGTGTTGGAAAGCTAAGACATAGTACAGAAACTTTCATGTTTTGGCTAAAAGCTATTTCAGTACGTATCCAGGTGAACAAATGCAACCAACTTAGTGTACTGTCAAAACTGTCTGCTGATTTACTCCAAGGGCAGTAAGGGTATTTTCATCTTTTCATAGACTACGTTGCTCTGATTGAGCTGAAATTTTGTAGGAAACCAAAAAATATCATTCTACACAACTTTCATGTTTTGTGCTAAGCCTAATTCGGCCTCTAACATACTGAAATGGAACCGGGCAGAACTGAAGCTCCAATTTCCAGAAATCTGGAATTTTGCTATATTCAAGCTATACTTCTCATTTTTACCTTAAAACTACCACTACTTTCTCCTTTACAAGATTATATACCATATATACACATCATATAAAACCTAACCCACAAGAAACCCTAACTCAAAAGTCATCCATCTAATCATCAAAATCACTTGAAACAAGCATCACAAGCACAATACTATCATTAATACCCAACTTAATCATGATTAATGGAGAAAGAAAGGTTGATCAGCCATTATACCTCAAGACAAGAGTTTGCAAGAATGATCCTCCACCTCTCCTTGAAATTTTTGGTTCCTTAAGCTTCCCAAGCTTCCAAACTAGTGATTAATCGGTTTAGTTTTTCTTGTTTTCACTCAAATGGTTCAAACTCAAAATGGATTGAAGGTGTTTCTCTTGCTCTCTCTCTCTCTCCCTCTTAAGCTCAGCCCAAAACAGAAAAAAAATGAGGAAAGATGAACTCAAATGGAAGATAAGAAGGTGAGACAAAAGGTTGGTCAAGGAACCATAGGTGGTTGACACTTGTCATCACCAAAACCAACTAAAATTTTGTTTTCTTTTCCTTGCATTTTGGCCACATATTTTGGTTATATGGCTGAGGATGAGGGGGATATTTTGCAAAAATATCAAGGGTATGTGGTGGTAGGGAAGTGGTGGGTTCAATCGGTAATGATCGATATACGTCGGTTTGAGCCGATTTTTCTTAAATCACGTATACTAGGGTTTTTGCCTTCTAATCACTAACTTATTATTATCACTTCTAATTATATAATATTTCCTCATCCAAAAGTCACTCTTACCTATCAAATTTGATCCTCACTCCGTACCGAATAGTCACACTACGGAAAAACGTGAAAACCCTAATTCGCTCTAACTTGAAAACTGACAACGAAAACCCTTACTTCTATATTCATTTACACTTATTGTGGGGTGATTGGATAGTAGGGCCATAATAAATGAATAATTTCCAAATAAAAAGGCATTTTTAAGAAAAACATGAGGGGTTTTACAATTCCATAAATTGAATTTAAGGTTTCGGTTAAAATATGAGAAATTTGAGAAAACGATCAGTCACAAGTGAAACTAGGGTTTTGATTCGACTTTTAGGGTTTCTAGTCTTTTAAAATAAAACAAGGTTTTAAATCAAACCCAAAGAAATAACTTTAGTTTCTTCTTTAAAACAAAATAATGGTTTAAAATAAAAATAAACTAAAGAAACCGTAATATCCTCTTTGAGACTACACAAAAGATGATCCTAAAAGTTGGGGTATCACAAATATATTTCGGGATATATTAGTTTGTGTATAACCGTCTTAGTAGTCCTGACGAGAGTTGGGCAGGCAGTTCGCTAACCCCTTTGGTATGCCTTAGGGGAAGGTGGGGCTGTCACAGGTTGCTAGTAAACTAAGGTTATTCTCTCATTAACAGTGTGGTGTATTCTATTTCTGGTGGGAGATTTTCTTTCCCAGAGTTGCCATGCATGATTAATTCGATGAAGCGATTTGAAGAATATGGTGACATGCTCATAGGCTATAGTGCAAGAAACGTTGCTTTTATTTTAACTATTTATTATTATTTGATTCACCATGTAACTCATGTTCAGCTACATAACTAGTTGGAATTGAGTCTATTTAAAATATATTCTATGGTGCTCCTTAAACAGTCTTACCTTTTGGATCTCGTAGACTCTGGTATGTGCAGCAGTCTGATGAACTTCTGAACCTGGACTTGAGGTTACTGGATGAGTTTAAAATATGTACAGTGCTCAAAAGTGGTCTACATCTGGCATATAATCAATGTTGTAGTTATCTTCAGCATACAAGTCAACCCAAGAAAGAGTTCCAAAATTCATGAAATTTTGCAATTAGAAGTCTAAAGCAGTGTAGTATGACAATGACCTGTTCTAATAGATATTGTTACCTGCTGAATGAGTTGATTCTCTTCCATAGTTTTGAATGACAGCCTCAGCTCCTCATAGAAATTTCTATTATGGTCGCCAGAGGCTTGGCTTGATGAATCCAAGCCAAGTCGATGCATTCTTCTAGGTTACTTTTCTTTGTCAAGCGTGCTGATCCATTTTTTATACCTAGCTGATAACCGCTGTTTCTTCAAGTGCCTACCCCATATTGTCATTTCTTGCTGATATATATATAACCTGAAAAAAAATAAACAAAATGATGCTAAGAACTTCATAAAGATGTATGTGACTCTATTTTATTTTTAGCCTCTAGCTTTGAAGATGCAATTATCTATGTACTTCAAGTTTCCCAAGCTTGGGAAAAAAACCAATGTTTAGCTACTAATGCTGATGAACCATATGTACATTTATACTACTATAAGTTATCCATTATGGTTAGTGCGTACCTTTCTCTCATCACTTCTCCTTGGATAATACACAACTTGTTAATTGTTTCTTGTACTTAGATAACTTTTGTAAGGTTGCAATAGCATATTTTTTTTACTAAAGTCTATTCTAATGCATATAATATTTTATTCTCAATGCAGTCCAGCTTGATATTGATCACAAGGAGACTGTTGGATATGATGATAGAGATGGTTAAAGTCTGACATTGGTGGTGCAATCTATGTTTTAGTTTGGAAATCTAGTACTCTATTTTTTGGGAAGGATACATATTGGCCAATAGTGCTTGAATTGATTATGTGGGTTTCGGGACACAATATTTTTTGTTAACTTCTATTTTGATTAATATATAGATGCTTATGGCCATATATATGAATTTGTAGTTTCATTCTACATTAATTTTGCCTTTTGTCAAATAGAATGTTCTACTATAATTTGTTGAAAATGCTATGACAATGCTATAATCGTAATGGTCAATCCTATGTTGTCACTGACATGCAAAAGTGACTACTATTTTTGTCACTAAATAATAAGACGGATGTGACAAACTTAGATCGTCACTGTAGACTTCAAATTTGTGACGACTTTTACTACATTTATGACAAAAATATAGGTGAAACAGTGACACGAAAAGTCATCACAAAATAATATCTGTTAGTGATGACTTTCCCCTTATCATTGAATAACAAAATTTTGTGACGACTTTCAAAAGGTTGTCATATGGACCCATTTGTGACTTAGAATCTATGACAACCAAGTGACAATGGAAAAAGTCATCATTATATTCATATAATGATGACTTTTTGGCTTTCAGTGACGACTTTTTATTGTCACAAAAGACCAATTTCTTGTAGTGTGAACAACTACTACTACTATAAACTAATACATCATGAAGCTAGTAGTAAGTTAATAATATTAAAATCTAGGTTTGAAGTACTTGTATGAATACAAAGATGCAATAAGATGACATAAACATTAGAACTATAGTAGCTATTGATCATGAGCAAAAGAAGGCAATAAGAATGCTATTACAATTTTCTATAAACCCTCCAAAGTCATTACGGTGATCTTCACAACATTAAAAATATTATTTTGTCAATCCTTATTGAACTAGAATCATGCAATCTCTAATTGACTCCCTCTCATGACCTTAAAGTCTTCTTCGCTTAAAGTATTTCTTTCATTCTCTCTAAATGTGGCAAAACACATTAAAGAAAACAAATTAGGTCTTATCATTGTTTCTTATGTGTATGCCAATATAATAATTTTCCTTGATTAGTATCTTGACTAAACTTTTAAAGTTTTTCTAAAGGGAAAAATGCACTTTTCATCCTCAAAGTTTGGGCTGTTGACTAATTTCATCCTCAAAGTTTCACCCAAAGCACATTTCATCCTCAAAGTTACGTAATTTTGGCCAATTAATGACAATTGACGGGAAATGAAGAAATTGGTGTTAGACCCAACTGTAAACCCAACAAAAAATGGATTTAACCGAATGGAGCCATTTTTTTGACTAAACTTTTAAAGTTTTTCTAAAGGGAAAAATGCACTTTTCATCCTCAAAGTTTGGGCTGTTGACTAATTTCATCCTCAAAGTTTCACCCAAAGCACATTTCATCCTCAAAGTTACGTAATTTTGGCCAATTAATGACAATTGACGGGAAATGAAGAAATTGGTGTTAGACCCAACTGTAAACCCAACAAAAAATGGATTTAACCGAATGGAGCCATTTTTTAACAGAACAAAAATTGTTTCAACGGACGAAAACCAACATTCTTCTCCTTCTTCCCTCCGCCTTTTTGCAACCCCAAAAATTTTTTCCCAATCTCTGGATTTCTTAGGCGCTTGCAAATGCCAAATCCAGTTTTAGGGCTCATTTACTTGGTGGAGGTTGATTTCCACCATATCTCCATCCCTAACACCCACCTTGGTTTCTTTCTCCTCCACCTCTCTATCCCCAACCGTCTCCTTCACCCCTCCACCACCACCACCACCACCTCCTCTTCCTCCTCCACTACTGCCGCCGCCACCACCACCACTCCCACTTCCCCAACCATGGCCTCCACCATTTCCACCACCACCGCCTTCTCCTCCACCCCCACCCCCACCCACACCCCCACGTCCATCTCCACCACCACCACTGCCAGCACCTCTGCCACCACTACCTCTCCTTCTACCTCATGTATGTTTTCCTCTCCTTTTCCTCCTTCTGTGACAGCCCCACCTTCCCCTAAGGCGAACCAAAGGGGTTAGCGGACTGCCTGCCCAGCTCTCGCCAGGACTAACGGTGCAGTTTAGAGCGATCTATTGCGTTCCGGAACTTATAACGCGCGTAAACAAGGCAAAAGGGCAAAATAACCCAAAATAAAAAAAATGAAATTCGGAGTCGGCCATGAATAGTAACCGACCCGTCAGAATGCAACCAAATATCAAACAAATATTCACACCTTGAACTTTAGCAATTACAACCCAAAGTGACATACAAAAGTTTTCAAAAGTTAGTATATACACGGTTTGCCAAATTGATAGTGAAAACGGCCCTAAAGATACATTTAGGGTTTCACTTCATATACAATACAAAAGAGATATACATCTAGTTCATTCGGCAACCATCTATCAAGATTCATTCCAAAAAGAGTCATATTCGTGTAAGGAAAACAAAAGGAACGGTGTGAGCTAATTGCCCAGTGAGATACTATCACTTACGCAACCAAGTGCATATAAGCATCAATCTTTCATTCAATATAGTAAAAATAAGCAAAGGCACACGTCAAATATGGTGATAAAAGGATACAGATGGCTCTCAAGAGCCCTTTCCTCGTTTGCATTTCTTGATCGGACGTCATTGACTCTCCGTCAATGTTCAAAAGTAACCAACCGTAGACTCCACTTTACTTCCACTCCTTCCACCTAACATCCCCCTACCGGGCCCGAAATCCAAACACTTGCACTTTGGTATTACTCGAGTATGCCGGAATCGAGAGTCTCGCATACTACAAGATTCCATATAACTTTACCCAAGGTTCATTAATTGGCACGACCAAGCCCTCGCCGGCTCGATTCAATCAACTACCAATGGGGTTGAGCTCAATGATAACATTTCCAGTCGTTGGATACTCGTCCAATCGACACCAAGTCAAGTACTTTCATTTCATGTAATATTTCATGTAACATTCCAATAACATGACAACAATGATATAAGGCATATAAGTGAGAGTGATAAAGTACACTTTCACTTCAATCAAGTCACATTCAATTCACTTCAAGCAATTTACATTCAAAGCCATATAGTAACACACAAGTGAGTAGTACACTCACCAGGGTCAGTGCAGATACCTCCCAAAAGAGAGCTTTAATCACCAAGAAACCCTAAAATAATCCAAGGAAAACAATTGAAGGTTCCACTTTCAAAATCGAGTATACAGAATGCACATGTGAGGCTCGACTACCAGTCGTATGCCTCGCCAAATAATTACTAAAGCAAGGGTGCAAAACATGATTTTTGGTAACGAAAAGGTAACATGAAGACCTAGGCTCAAACAACCCAAAAGCCCTTCGATCAAATCACAAGGAAATCCAACTAGCCTTCAAGAAAAATTTCGGCAGCATATCCCTTGTTTTTACCTATTTTCCAGCCATCATGGCTTCATTATGTCCTCAAATCAGTCCCAACATCTCGTACAAAAATAATCTCATTCCCAAAAGCCGTTCACTAGGCTTAATGGCATTCAAGTACAAAATTTAGCTAGGAAATGACCGGATATGAAAGTCAAGCCCTAAACTATTCAAATAAACACAATAAGACTCGATTATAAGTCATAAACCAATTCTACATACTACCAAAATAGGGTTCCCTAAGCATACACAAACAATAGAGGAAACCAGAAAATTCGGAAAGGCAATTAGCTTTGGCCCTGAAAAAAAAATAGTTTTTGACCTCATTTTGCGGTAATGTCACCAATTTCACTATGATTACCGGATGAAGGTGTAAGATACACCGTTTTGAAGCTAAAATACAGGGCTATAACATTAAAGAAGGTCACTCAACCCATTTTTGAGTGAAACCATGTCAAAAATGCAAGATACTACACCATAAACGTAAAACAGATTCACAAAATGCATTCTGGTGTAAACATCATAACTCAGCCTAATTAAGTCCAAATTCAGAAATTCCAAAGCCTGCTGAAATCTAAGAAAAATTTCTACATTTCATCAGAAGACCTCAACAACTAATTCGGAAGCAATTCCATCCAAAACAACCAATTACAGGCGCAATTCTTACATTCGGGTAAAACCAGAACAGCAATAGTAATTTCGACTTTTCTCATTCTACACTACTCCAATTGACCTGAAATTTTGTAGGCACCTCTAAAATGTCATTCCATAAAACTTTCATGTTTTAAGTCAAGGACAATTCGACCTCTAACTAGGAGCTATAAATTCGGGCAGAATGTTCCCACTAAAACCCTAATTTTCTGAAATTTCTTCCAAACCAGAAATTGGTTGTAATTAATCACTTTTTCCACCTCCTAGAGTCATTACATACCCTTTCCAATCATCATAGATAGCCACACAATCATGTTCATATTAAAACAGAAAAATCCCCAAAAATTATAAAAGTTCATCAATTCAACCACAACTCAAAATATAATCCATAAAATGGCATCTCATACTACCACTAAGCATGATTTAAGCATCAATAAAGGGAGGAGAGTAGTTCTTCACCACTCACCTTAGAAACAAGAGAGAGAGAGAGAGCAATAGGTCCTCTTAGTTTTCCAAATAACTCCACAAATCAACTCACTAACACTACTTGAAGATGTTTTATGGAGAAATTGCAAGTTTCAATGGTTGGTTGGATGGATTTGAGCTAAATGGAAGCAAAACTTGAAGAGTTTCTTCCTTTCTTTTTTGAGAGAGAGGGCCGGCCAACAAGGGAAGAGAAATGGAGAAATTTTGGTTGTTTTTTGATTTAGTTAGTCAATTGGTAAGACCATGAATAGTGGTCTTAAAGGTAAACCCACTCAAATGGTGACACTTGTCACCTTTTATTAAATGCTTACCTATCTTGTCTCTCTTATACCAATCCACTTAGCCTCCTCTAATTATCTCTTAACACCCGGTAAATTAATTCCAGTATCCAAAACTTAACCTAGTTGACCGAATTTTTCCGAACTTTTTGCACTTGTGGGTCCCACGTCTGGTATACGCTCTTAATTTCTCAAAACCTATTCGATACTACAAAAATCATCTAAAAATAATATTTGCTCCTTAAAAGTATCTAGAAATTTTTCCTAATCACGAAAATGCAGAAAACAAGCCATGGAAAATAATAAAACCTAGAAAATGGGAAAAATACGGGTTCTCACACCTTCCACCACCTCTCCCTCCACCACTACCACTTCCACCGCCTCCACCTCCACTGCCACCGCCACCACCGCCGCCGCTGTAACGACCCCACCTCCCCCTAAGGCGTACCAGAGGGTTCGGCGGGCCGCCTGCCCAGCTCTCGCCGGGACTCAGTCGTTCGCTACAGTGCTCAATTAAAAATTGAAATAAATCACAAGAATAAATAGGGCATTGATCCAAACTTAAAGCGGAACTTATATACATTGCCAACCCAAAAGAGAATATAAACATCAAATATACAAGGGTTCTCAATCCTTCATACATCCAGCCCGTGCCAAGCACTAGGCGAGAACCACTACAAAAGAAACAAAAGAAACAAAACTAGATTGGCTAGTCTATCTCAAGCTCATGTCCTCGCTCGCCTTCCCCTGTAAGGAAAACAAAACTAAAGGGATGAGCTAAAAGCCCAGTGAGGTTCCGAACACATAATCAGATAATCAATCTAATACATTAAACATGGAGTATCAATAATTCAAGAAACATTTACAATGGAAAGCGATAGTAACACATTCATTAAAAGGATACGGCTCACAAGGAGCAATTCGTTATTTCATTCATTCGTTCTCCTGACATTTCCCCTTGTTCCTCCAATCATTTGAAACTGCATTTTTCGTTTATCAATAACCCTCGTTCGATCGTTCGTTCATTTATTCATTCATTCACCCCCGTCCTGGCCGTTGGCCAGTCTCCACCAACCTACAGGGTAATACTCGAGTATACCAAACGTTCACCCAAGTCCCTAATCGCCCGACCGAGTCCGCTTCTGGCTCGAGACGACCGGTAACAAGGGGCAATGGCCAGTTCAGCCCAAGAGGCTTATATTCATGCGCAAGTAACATTTCAATCATTAAATCCTTGAAAATTGCACAGTTATTTAGGTCGAGTGCGATAAAGTACACACTCGCCTAGGAAGCTCGTTTTGGAAATCATTAAAGGCACTTAACACATTAGCAAATGATAACAACAAGCCATAGAATCAAATAAGGAACACTCACCTAGAAATGCAAAATATCGTGCAAAATATCCTTCCGGATATTACCCTTAATCACCAATGAAACCTAAGGTTGAACAAGAGAACATATTACAGTTTATCAAGCAAAACATTTAAGGGAAACAAAGAAACCCGACTAATTAGGAGTAAAATGTGTAAAGATAATTTTCAAGTAAGAAGAGGGTTGTTTGAACCCACGGATGAAAAATCATGTTTTAAAATGGAAAACCGGTCATGGTATTGGCCAAACAAAAGTATACAAGTTCAAATAGAAACCTAGCCCTCGGGCGAAAATTTGGGCAGCACGCCCTTTGTGTTTACCTAATTTTCCAGCCATTTTGGCTTCATTATTTTTCCTCAACCACAACCCAACATCACACATAAGCAATTCAAGTCAAGAGCCGTTCCATAGGCTCACAATATCATAAGAATAAGAAATACAGTAATAACAAGTGCAGAAATTCAATTTAGCAAAAGACAGATTTGACGTGCGAATGCGGAAATAACATATCTGAGGCTACGCTTATCGGATTAAGACGCAACCTATGCCGTTTCGAAGCTAAGACACAGGGATATAATGTTCATGAAGGTCACTTAGTCCAGTTTCTAATGTAACTTGGTCAAATTCTCAAATTACTAAACCAGAAACCAATTCATCGGCTGTTTAAATGCAGACACTGTAATGGTCATAACTCAGTGTACAAAAGTCCAATTCCGGTGTTCTTAGAGGCATTTGAAAGCTAAGACAGAAC